ATCATGTTGAAGCCAAGGATTTGGATAAGAGGAATAAATTGAGACTCAATCCTAACAAGACTGAATGTCAGTGGGTGCTTGGGGGCCCTGGTCCTGGGGTTCTTTTACCATTGGCCATGAATTTGATTAAATTATCCTATTGGATGGTTCCTAATGAGAAGGAAGGACTCTTCAATCTCATTAGGAAGAGCCTAATGCTGGGAAAGTTTAAGGGCAAAAGAAGAAAAGGACGACAGAGAATGAGGTGGCTGGATGGAGTCACTGAAGCAGTGAGCTTAAATGGACTCCAGAGGATGGTAGAGGACAGGAAGGCCTGGAGGAACATTGTCCATGGGGTCACAAAGGTGGGTTTCAGGAAGTACGGTATGGTATGCGCATACCGGATCCAGAAATCCAGCGTGCATTTGCATATTGGGTTCTCCAGAAGCCCAGTACCAGAACTCTTCTTCCCCTGGCCTGCCCCCCGCTCGTTCCCCCTGCCCACCCTGCCTGGTTTCCAATGAGATGGGGAGGGAGAGAAAGAGAGAAAGTTAGAGAGAAAGAGAAAAGAAGAAAGAAAGAAAGGAAGAAAGGAGGGAGGGAGAGTGAGAGAGAGAGAAAAGAGAGAGAGACAAAGAGAAAGAGACAAAGAGAAAGAGAGGAAGAAAAATAAAGAAAAAGAAAAAAAGAGAAAGAAAGGAAGAAAGAAAGAAAAAAAGAAAGAAAAAAGAAAGAAAAAAGTGGGAGAGAGATGAAAGAAAGAAAGAGGGAGAGAAAGACAAAAGGAATAAAGGAAGGAAGGAAGGAAGGAAGGAAAGAAAGAAAGAAAGAAAGAAAGAAGAGAAAGATAACTTATGACCACAATTGAGTTCAAAATTTTGGTTGCTAAGCAAGAGTGTTGTTTAGTTTAGTGAGTTTCACCACATTTCCAAGTTGGCCATGCCCACCCAGTCACATGACCACCAAACCACGCCCACCCAGTCACATGACCACTGAGCCACTCCCACAAAACAGGCCACACCTACAGAATAAGTTCTAAAAATTTTGAAACCCATTACTGGTCAGACAAACCTTCGCAACTAACAATTTTGGATGGTAGTTTGGCTTGGTTGTTTGAGGGAATGTCTGTCTCCCATATTTTTTGCCAATTCTGTAAGATCTCAGAGAGTTGGTTCACTGTTGGTCCAGTCAAATCAATGTGATTTAGCACGACTTAGGACAACGCCCTTCTCAGTCATGACAGAATGAACTGCATATGATGAAATTCTTTCCCCACCCCCATGCAATTCTGAAAAAAAAACCTTCCCTACCATGCAGTTGACAAAAACAGTTGCACATTGGCCCCCCACCTTTCTAGGTAAAATTATAGGTGCCTTCTTGAGATCAGTTTGAGATATCAAACAACCACAGAGAGAGATTTCCTTTCAACTGCTGTCTTTCACATAGCTGTTAAAGCTTCTGGAAATCTAGAAGGAAGAAAATGTGGCTTTGAATACAACATCACAAGATTGTTGCCAGTTGAAACTCAGACTAGATTTACAGCCACCTGTCACATTGTCCTCACCTTGGCTTGTCTGTTTTATTTCACAGATTTGGGCGGTGAGAAACAGAGGGCATCTAATTGGATGTCATTGTGAGAAAAAATGCAGCCCTTACTGATGTTGCTGAAGAGCATAACATTTGCATATGGCCTTCATGCATTCAATGACAGTAGTAGGTCCTTTGGCAAGCTTCTCTTACTATATATACTTGGTTGTCCGAGAAATATGGCTGCCGGGTTTGCCGCTCGGCTTCTGCACTGACAAAAATTTTGCAAAGAGGAGGATTTGGCATTCTGGAATTGACCCAAGATGAGGCGAGTTTGCCGGAACATCTAGCGGTCCTGGGGCTGGCAGCAGCAGCGGAGAATTCGATCCCTCCGAGCTGCTAGCTCGGAAAGACACCGAGCTCTAGAAAGCGCCGAGAGACATCGTCATCGCGGGCCGTCGAAGCTGCTGGCCGCAGACACCGCCCGTCTCTTTCTATCCAGGCCGCCTAACATCACGGCCCGAACGAAACGAAATAAACGTTGGGAAGCGTTGCGGACGGCGGAGATTGAATCAAATAAAAAGAGAGCTGGTGAGAGGGGGAGTTTGGGANGCCTCAGGCTATAATTCATGTCTTCATAGATAAAATTTTGCTTTGTCCTTGCATGTCCTTTTTGGAAGCCTTTCTTGTTCTGTTTAAAAAGACAATAATTAAGATGCATTACTCCTTTTTTACATTTCCAAGTTACCTAAAAATCTCTGTGCTTGGTGCAGATCTGTTGAAGCATAATATAAACAAGATATAAAAATAAATACAACATTAACAAATAAAAAAAATTGAAGTATGTAAAATCATTGTATAAAACCAAAATCAATGTGTAGGAACTGTAAAATGGATTTGTAATGCCACATGTTTATATTTCACTGGTCTTGGACTGAATAGTTTTCAGCATTATCCATTATAGGAAGGAGGGCATAGCTGGACATTTTTAAGGTCACAATGACAAGTACCTATAGCAAATATTAATGTTGTGCTGAATCACAAAGCTTTTCTTTTCAGTTTGCACTTATGTGATTATGATTATTATATTGATCCACTGCAGTCCTTACATTGTTATAGAAAAACCAGAATAAAAAACCTGCAAACCTTTAAATTAGAAATTCTTTTGTATTACAAATATCCAATGACCTACAAATATGCAGGGAAGGACTTATTTGTCATTATCTTGGGACATTTCTTGACCGATATACATAATTTTTGGAAGAAAAGAATGGAAGTTGATGGAACTTAGTTAATATAATGTCTTGATATTAGCCATACTTACATTGGTACGATAGATGATATAAAATCCCAGCATAAAAATAAAGAGTATTAACACAGAGATAATACTATACAACATCCAGGAAGATTCAAAATTCTTCTTTGCAGCTGCTGTAGGGAAGAAAATGGGACATATAGTTTATCATAATGCTTTACACCAGGGATGTCAAACTCAAGATCCGGGGACTAGATTCAGCCTGCAGAGTGCTTAGATCTGGCCTGCAGGGCTGCCCTGGAAACAGCAAAGGACTGGGCCACAGTGCCTCTACCACCATTGTCCCCTCAATGTGCAATTTTCTTTTAAAGTGCACATTATTTGTTATTCATCCTTCTTGGTATGTGCATTTTTATATCCTTTAATTATACTTTGATTTTGTACAAACACATTTTTGTATTGGTCTAGAACTAAATGTGGAAGGGCAACTGAATTTTAGTTTATGAACTATCACTTTCCCCAAACCCAGTATTATCAAGTTTATTACTTTTTGTAAAAAAAAAATCACTTTAATTTGTATCCAGATATTCTACATTTACTTTTTCATTTCATGGAATTCTAAGAAACTATGGCTAATGGAAGTTAGAATCCAAGTACCAAATTGAGAAAAAAATGGTTAATGATTTGTAAGTGAGAATTGTCAACATGATCTTTTTCTCCATTCCTACCTTCTACTGCCAAAAGAATAGGAGAGCTATTCTTCTGCACAAGTTCATTGTTTATGAACATGCCTGCCGTACACAGGTATACATCACTGTCATTCTCTTTCAGGTGCTTCAGTGTGATTGTGGCCATGTTGTTCATCTCAAAATACTCAGTGCGGTTTTCATATGCAGGATCTTCTGTCTTGATTTTGCCATGTTGGGTAACATAAAGCACTTTGACGTTTCCAAAGGTTCGTTTTAGAAATAAACCTTCAATCCTATGCATAAACTTGCAGGTGAGATTAACAGATTGCCCTTCTTCAGCAATAAGAACTTGACTGACCATTTCATCTGGAAAGAAAAAGATCTGAGTAATGAATATTATTTATGCCCTTGCCATATTGATATTAGTGGATTTTAAGTGTTATAGTGTGTGCCAGTTCCTATTCAAAGTCTATTTAAAAATACAAAACTCTGAAGAGTTCATTATAGGATCTTTTCAGTTGTATTTCAGTATTGATACTGAGGAGAAACCCACATTATTTCCAGGCATTCAGCACTCACAATGCAAGTTTCAGTTAGTCCTTCACACTGGAAACAGCTTGGCTACTGAGCATTATCACAGTTTTGTAGCTTTCTGCAAATGCCACCTGCTGAATACTACCCCCTATTCTCCTGAAAGGTGGCAGACACAATAAACAAGCCCATTTTAATTTTTCATTTTGTCTCATTTAGCTTTTTATTATTGTCACTACATCATAGAATGAGAGCTTCTGCTGCATAGCTTTGCTAAGAAAAAAAATTTCTTTGAATCATGGAACTGCTTTAAAAGCAGTAGCTATCACTTTCAAAGTGCATTCGTTAAATATTATGTTTTATATACTATAATAAAGATAGTATACTTTGAAAGTAGTCCTTAGCATCCCAAAGATCTCAAAATTTAATGTTTGTATGTTTAAGATACATTTCGGGAATGCTTAAAAGTATTTTCTTCTAGAGTTATAATAGAGCAGAAATTCTGACAGAAAGAACTATAGTTCCTCAATGTTTGAATATCAGTATCAAATTCCTCTGATTCCTTACATGCTTCAGCAAAGGGACCAGAGCTGTGCAGAAATCCGTATTTGAAGGGGAGAAGGTGACTCAGAGCATAATTCACCATGAAACACATTTTCCCCTTAGGATTTCATGGCAAGAGTTGGCCAAGGTCAGGTCAGATGTGACTTATTTAAGGAGCTATGTACAGATGTGCATACCTTCTTGATTTTTCTCATTGGATTTGACAGCTTAAACTGAGAGGGTTAATATTGTTTGTTTTCCAAGACCAACAGAAAAGATAAAACATAAAATATTAAAAATTACAAAGCAAGATAATGAAACAATTTAATAATGCAAGAAAGGCAACAATCTCTGCAAACCATAGCTATTCATGGAAATATTGCAGAAATTGGTTAGTATACAAAAAGGAATTTCAGTGGGCTTGTAGTAATAAAAGACTCTTTGACACATAATTTGAAACTAATAGCATAATTTGTATCCATTACTTTTAAGTACATTTGGAAAGAATCTTCTCACATTTTAAATATATAATATTCCTAGACATTTCTCAGACAAACCTGAATAGCCTATTTTGTATCCCACATTCAGATAAAATATATTTATGCTTTTTCAGACAATTTCTGTTTTTATACACTGAAATTCTCTACTTTACATGTGCATTGTCAAGCCTGCACAGATGCCATGACAGCTATGGAACACTAAGGCAGTGTCAAAACAAAAGTAATCATTAACACCTGGTTTTGGCCAAGTAAGATGGAATAACTTGAAAGAAGATATGATTGTCTGGAATTTTGAATAAGAGTTCTCAAAATGTCACCATATTTTATTGCAATTCCTACTTAGCTACAACCACTTGCTAGACTGGTTTTCTCTGTTGTTTACTCATCTTGCAAAAAAAATATTCCACACAAAATATACTTCTACAAGTCATGCTAAGATATGAATAAAGCCTACAAATTCTGAGATAATTGATATGAACATTCTGAGTATTTACATTATTCAAAGAAAACTTTGATTTATACCAAAATGCTAAACCCAAATCTGATTTCTTCCCCTCTAGTCAGCCAAAAGAGTTTCTCCCTTTATATCATAAATAAAAGCAAGATCCAGACAAATAAACAGTGTTTTTTTAACTTAGCCCATGTTATTAATTCTTAGTGAAGATTAAACATCAATAAAATATTTTTTGGATATCTTCTACCTTTTGATCCTGCATTTCCAGGAGAAACCAGCAAGAGAAAATACACAGAAAGGATCCAAAGCATTTTGTAACAGTTGTTTTTTCTACCTGAAACCAGCTACTCATTACCCACAGAGCAAAAATTGCCTTCCCNTGAAACCAAAATGAAGCTATATCTTGATCCATCTACATTATATGAAATAAAGAAACATCAAAAATTTTATAATGCCAAAACAAAATATCAATCTGTCTTGCAATACCCTAATTATTTCTATCTCTGATGTGAAAGCCAAAGAGAACAAGTAGTTAAATACCTAAGCACATAGATATTTCTTATGGAAGAGTTTGTTTTCAGCATCTTCCTGATGAGAAAAACACAGACTTTTAACCCATTCCAAAATGGCCTGAAATATTTCAGAATACCAAAAGGAAATCCAATGCATCTAGGCTTTCACATTCAATTAAAAAAAATCAAAAGTGTAATTGCATATTTTTTATTTTATTTTGGGTATGTTCAAGGTCCTCCCCAATTCCCTAAAAATATTTTCCTTGAATCTCGATCTTAATTTTAGATTGGTCTACCTTTGTTCCTGTGTTCCAATCATACTCATGGATTCCTAATCTTTTTTTTCCATCTATGCTAGTTAATTTTGGTGGTTTCTTATCAATAACATTTATTTTTAAAGCTACTTTAGTGTAACTTTGTATCTTTGATTCAGTATCATGCATAAGAAGGCCTAGCATTTTCAGACTGACTAGACTTAAAATGTTTTTTAATCAGAAATCATTTTTCTTCTTTTGGGCTTCTCAAAAAAGGATGATGTGGTAACAATTGGAGTTGAGACAGTATTTGTGATCTTCTGGCATTTAAATAATACAATTTTGACTTATCAATTTTGCTCTACATTAGCCATATACCCTTGTTCTCCAATTATCAGTCCTGGACTGAAAGTTAAACCAAGAATCCTTAGTAATCTATTATGTCAATTTAATTAACTGTTTTTAGTTTGGTGTTTTTAGTTTAGTTTAGTTTAGTTTAGTTCAGTTCAGTTCAGTTTATGTTACATTCATCTTGCTTTTGAAAAAAAGTTCTTAAGGTTATGTTATATGCTTACATCCACAAGCAGATATATGGAAGTTCAGACAATGAAGAAGTACCCATTATCACTTTGGGCAGCATGTTTAGAACATACATGATTTGTGTTTTTGAGTTTGCACCACATTATTTGCAACTACCTGTTGACCACATCCTTGCTATGCTCAATTTACAGCCTGAGAAGATGCAGTTGCCTAGACTTTTGAAGTATGTTTCTACGGTCAGGTATCATGCATTATTTGCCTAAACCAACCCAAATAGTAATTTTAAAAATATCTTTATAAATATCTCAGCCACACAGTACTTGGTTCCATCATCACATTTCCTGATTAAACACTGAAATAAGAAAGTGGGCTCTGTGGTCATCTTTGGTGGCTCTGAACCCAGGAAGTCCTATTCTGGTCAGGTCTGTTGTTTTCAGGTTCTACAACACCTGCTTCCCTTTCAGGATTTTTACTTGTTTGCTATCTGTGTTTCCAGTTCATGCAATTTACAGCTATTTTGGAGCTCACGAGAACATGAAGATCCCACTAAATCAAACCAAAAGTTCATTTACTCGGGTGTTAAGACCAGCCAGATGCCAAAGCAAAGTCACAAACAGAACCTGGGTGCAAGCAGCAAGCTTCCACTTACGTTTCCTAATAACCAGCATTAAGACAGATAATTATTCTTGATCCTAGATATAATATACAACCACCGGGATTGGGAATGTTTGAATCAAGTATGATTTTGTCTATCTTCTTCCTAGTGTGTGTGAATAGCCTCAAACTTTTGGAATTGTGAGTAATAGAAAGGAAAGTGTTCTTTGTATCTCCATTGGGTTGCGTACAAAATGAAAATGTCTCAAGCTCAGAACAACATTGACAAGGTTCCAGCAGAACAAAACTTGAAAAGCTTTCAACAGCTGTTCCTCTCTTGTTTTTCACCACAGCACCACAAGATCAGTTATGTCTATGCAAAATGTTGCTTACCAGCCGATCTGCAAAATCCTTGGCTGGTGATTATTTTAAAAACTTTTTTAAAGCATTAAAATACACCTTTCTTGTACTTATCAACAAACTAAGGACGAAGAGAACTTAATCAATCTCATTAATTCACCAAGCGCAAGTTTCTAAATTGCATGCGTCATATTAATATTATGACCTGAAAACATAAGAACTGCACATGAACTGAAACTGGACAAACTACCTCAAACCACTATACTTTTTTTTTTCATTTTGAAAACGTTCCAAAGCTCAGAATGAATGCAAGCATGTGCACAAAGGTCATACAGATGCAAAGTACAAAAGTTTAATAAATCAAAATCTTTACATTTGTAAACATGAGTGTATGAACACCATGTATATATGCAGCACATTTGATCTGGCAGGAAAATAAAGTACAGCATCCCATAAGATGCATGCACTCTACTACCTGTCTTATGGATGTTGACTCTCTATGGCATAGGGCAGGGGTGTCAAACTCAAGGCCCGGGGCCCGGATCCAGCCTGTGGGGTACTTACAACTGCCCATGGAGCTGCCCTGCAAACAGCAAAGGACCAGCCCACAGTGCCTCTGCCAGCAAAAATGGAGCTCAGGAGGGCTGCACATGTGGCCCTCCCGAGCTCTGTTTTCACTGACAGAGGGTTGCAGGAGGCCGTTGCAGCTGAAAATGGAACTCAGGAGCCTATTTTTGCTGCCGGAATGTTCGAGCCATCACAGGGCTCCCGACACAAGTGATGTTGAACTGGCATGCTCACCCCAGCCATGCCTCCCTGCCTCCCCCCCCAAGGTCAAACACAACCCTGATATAGCCCTCAATGAAATTGAGTTTCACACCTCTGGCATAGGAATTTTGTTTGTTTGTTTTAAAGTCAGCAATAAATTACCAAGAAGTCTGGCAGACATATAACTTTGAGCAACTTTCCTATGTGGTCAGGTTCTTAATTGCTTCTTTCCTGCCTAAATTCTGCTCCTTTATTTCTATTTGGTCAAA